AGAGAGGTGCAAGGTAGGTACCTTGCACCTCTCTGGAGAGGTACCTTTCGCCTCTCTGGAGAGATACCTTTCACCTCTAGACGCAGGCGTAGCTGGGCGCTAGACCGGACTCGTAGCCCACCCATTTAGAGCTGACCCCCCTGGCACCACCCCAATGTAGGCATATATGGCATACATGGAGTCTATGGGTAATGGGTTGAATCCCACCACCAAGTGTTGAAGGCAGTCATTCATCGTCTTGGAAACGCGAGATGGCTTCAAACACGAGCGGAGGCGCTCGAGTCCAATACGCGGTCACGTGAACCCCAACACTCGACCGCCTGGCCAAGGTGGCCATTTGAAGGGCCAAGCAGGCGCCTCCTGGCAGGTGCCGCTTGAGGGGAGGCCGTTCCCAAACAGCAATTGGAGGGGTCTGGGGTCTCAAATCCGGTTGGGAGATCTCAATTCGGCTGTTTTGTTCAGCGTCCGGGCAGGCCGTTCCCACCCCAAGGTAAAGAGCCCAGGACCATCCTGTTCGGGTGTCCTCAGCCTGGCTGGACTACCGACATACCCTAAACGTCTTATATAGATCTTCTTAGGAATCTGCATCAAACAACCAAACAGGATGGTCGTGGTGGGTGTGCACTTTTATAGGGAGATCCCCAGCCAATGGGTCTTCTTGTGAGGGCAATACACACCATCTGTCATGCCTTGTGTCTGGAGTTTGCATTTGGCAGCACTGGTGGTGTATGAGTACCTATGGTCGTCTAGGAGTCTAGGTTTCCTGCAGAGTCAGGTTGCTAGTGCAGCTTCAGTGCTGGGGTTCTTGGAGAGAAGGTCCAACTCTTGACAAGCCTGATCAAGCCCTGATGGGATCTCAACGCCCTGCTCTGATGATCGAAAGATTGAAGATGACAGAGTGTGCCCCGGGTGGGTGGAACTGTTCCAGTTCCAGTTCCAGCGGTCACTGGGGAGGGGGGGGTTCCAGTTCCAGTGGGGAACACTATGGAAGATGATGCAAAGCACAAAGAAATGTCACTTAAGGCCCTCTGCGTCATAGAGCGACCACCCGTTTTCCCAAGGTAAGTCTTGTGGGCCTACCATTTCAGGCTAAAGCCTCCCAAACCAACCCACCTCCAGCCAATAGCCATCTCCGAGTTCGTCGCGAGTGGCCTCAGAAAGGGCAACCAGTTTAGACCCATGAGGAAATCTAGCTAGGTATGACATATGACCTTCTGGCAGCACCCCTGGTCTTTTCTTGGGCGTCATATGGCAGTCCCAGACGGGTCGTGTCTAGGGATGAAATAGGTCTTCCTACTCCATGCAGTCTGTGAGCTCTGCTGGACTCTCACGGACAACTCCAACATATCATCATTTTGTCCTAGCCTTCCAAGACCATTAAAGAAAAGGTTAACCTGGTTGTTCCTACTTCTAACATTCTTAAGTAAAACGATGGTTGTTTGTTAGTTTGAGGGCTATAGCCAATCAATGGCGGGAGAAGTAATTGGAACCTGAAGCTTTTAGATTTCGCCCACTGAAAGCCTTGGACGTCCGTGATGTTTCTTGTTTTTTCGACTGAACGCCTTCGCACGGTCGCACTGTGCAAATCTCATCAGGTTGAAAGGACACGAAACGAAGATGCGGAAGTCACGTCGACGTTCGCTGCTTTGGTCTACGAACAGCTGCAACCCCTGGCCTTTCCAGTCCTCTGTCGTGTCGAAGTGGTTCCAACCTTGGGGAAAAAGGGGCCCAACTGCTAAAAGTGAGGAACTGGTGAGTCTCAGTGGACACGAACTGGCACTGTACCTCCCAAAAAACTGCTGTGCATCTATGGGCTTAACTTCCACTCATGGGCTCAACCTTCCACATGGTCCTGCTGTCAGGAGTCATGAAGCTTCCTGTGAAGCTCCTGGCGTCCGTGTTTCTTTTCATCAGTCAATATGGATTTGACATATGGCATCCCCCGACTCTGATAGCTTGAACATGCCAAATATGAACATATCACTGGACTTATATATATATATTTACACAGTGCACAGTGCGTGCTCTTTTTTGGTGTTGCAGAAACCTGAGCCCCCCCCAAGTACCATAGAAAATGGAACAGGACAGGACCTCATTTAAAAAAAATAGAAACAGGTCTACGACTGAGTCTGCCATTTTCCGAGATCATGGCGTGTCCCGCACGTGCACGCCATGGGCCCCACTTGTATATCCTCCACATCCCCACGATCCGCACGCGGCGTCGTCTCCGCCCTGAGGCTTCCAAACGCTGCTCGAGTGCCGACGCCTCTCCGCTCCGCCGCGCGGTGGACGCCGCGACCGTCCGCGGGTCACGTCGCAGCGACAGAAAGCCGCAAGGCCTGGCGAGGGAGTTGCGACAACCGCGAAGGAGACAAGCTCAAACACGAAGATCTGGGAGTGGGCGTAAGAACCACCAACCAAACCAAGTGGGTCATACACCTGGGAACCTGATGGCATGGACCGGAAAACGATGGTCCGTACAGTCCGCCTGGGCAGCGCCAAAGGAGCGAAGATCAGCAAGGCACAGAGCCAACCTGCCAAGTCACCAAAGCAGGTCCCGTCCAACGTCGGTCGAGTGCATCCTGCTGCTGATAAACGCCTGCAGGAAATAGATGGCTGTCGAAGCCGAATGACCATGACCATTTACTTTGGAAAACACCTATTTACCATCCCTGGGGATCCAAGTACCTTCTCAGAAGGTGTTTGGGGTGGGTTTGGAGGGTGCAGGTGCCTTCTGAGAAGGCACTTGGATCCCTAGGGCATGACATGGTAGAAAATGCTCAAGGTCGAAAATGCCCAACGGTGGACGCTCGCGCCTCGGCGCGGCACCATGACGCGCGGGCGCTTTCGCGCGCGGCCGCCGTGGCGGACACAGCTGCGGTGGGGCCGGTGCGAAATTTCTCCGTGCAGCCCGGGGTGAAGCTTGGGCTCAGCAATCCGGAAAAAAAGAAGCGTTGGAAGAGAATAATGTTGACTTTAAACTTCCAGGCATTCACCCATGGGTTGGAAGAATCATTGGAAGAATCATACAGAATCCCAAATAAATAGAAGTTTGTAGATCCCCACGTAGAAAGTGTCTGGGAAACCGTGCGATCCTATCTATTTGGGGATCACTACCAGGGCCCCCTGTTTGAGGTGGTTAATGGATACCCCGAATCACCTCTTGGGCCCTGGTGTAGTATAACTACCTCAAATAATGGACCTGTACCAACTCCATCCAACTCCATCGATGCCTTTTGCAAGTCCCTCTCCTCTTTGGGGCTCCCAGCGCCCCGAGTGGCGTCGGGGCTGGCCCAGCGCTCGACCTGGGTGCCCCGGTGCACCGGTGCGTCGCATGGAGTGTCACACGTCCCGGACGATGAAAGAGTTTGTACCTGAAGTCGACCCGGACACGTACCTTGAAAAGAGTAGAAGTGCTTGCGTGTTTTTGTAGAGTCATGTCCCATGTTCTCGGGTACCAACGGCGTCAGGTCCAGGTGTGCCGCAGCTTGACACAGGTTCAGGCAGTCGTTTTAGTTCGATTTCGATCGACGAGTCTTCCGGAGGGTCTGTCACCATGCATGTCACCGTCACCATGACCAGTCTCCCGGTCCCTGTCCGAAGACCACTTCGAAGACCAAACAGGTGGTGCCATCCTGTGATTGATCCAAGGAGTGCAACCTGTAAGCCACGACCCGCAAGGGGGTGGTTCATGGACACCCCGCAATTAACATCTGCGGTGCTATGACGCTAGAAATAGATACCCTCAAACGGAGGCCCTTGAGCATGGCAGCCCACAAAAGACTTTAAAATCTTGGAAGAACATCTTCTCTCGTTACAATCCAAATTAATTTGGGAGGTTGATGGAGGTTGTTTATCAAGAGTCTGGATATGTTCATAACTCATATAACAATCACAATTAGTCCAACTAGGCCCCCGAGCAAAGCTACAAACGTCAAACAGCAAGTCCTGCGTATTCTGCACCACCTCCCCACGCACGGTCAAATCTGATGGGCGACGTGGAAAGCTTCTTCCAGTACTACGCTATGACCAAACCTGTTCAAAGATCCCAAACATGCGGAACTTGTGGGTTTTGGAAGGTTTTGGATGGTTTTGGCCGTAGTTCACATGACGTGCCGCCTATGAAACCCCCCAAAACTGGTTCTTCAAAGTGATCGAACTTGATATCCTGGTTGGTTCGGTCACGAACAGGCCTGCAACAGGTCACGATCGGGGACTCCACAAAGGTCACGAACTGAAGAGGCTGGGGAACTCATGAAGGTTGCCGTAGCTATCAACTTGCAAAATGGGCTGGAGTCTTGTTTTGCAGCTGAGGCCAGCCTTCTGGAGTGATTCGTTTTCACTGGTCCACCCGACATTCACATGAAACACGCAAAAAGCGTCTGACAGGACGTCGTCTTACGTAGTCTACCACCCCCAACTCCTCTGGTTTAAGGCCGCCCCCCTGAGCCAGAGCCACGTCTGCGCCGTCTACGCCGCCGTCTACACCGCGGCGGGCCTGATGAACACACGAGTCACGCTTCAAGGTCTGAAGCAAAAGGAAGTTCAACGAAGGCACCAGCTTCTCCACGCGCTTCTTCAACCTAGTCTTCAGGCGCCAGGTCGGAGAGTGTTTTCAGGGTTTTGATCACATCGATGAAGACCCTTCGAAAGAAGCACCATCCCAATGTGCACTCTGGAATGCACTCCAACAGCTGCCGTCCAAACGCACAGACCCCCGGGCGCCAGGAACCCCTCCGGGCGAACCCCCTGGGTTCCGGGAACCCACTGCGGTCCACCCGGACTGGAAGACGATGGAAGACCAACAGGACCGTGGTTCTCAGGTTGTGGACCTCTTCCATCCCAGGGTTCCAAGGGCCTTCTGAGGTGATTGGAGGCACTGTTATGTAGGTGCCTGGGTCGGGTCCAGTCGTACCGAACCTGAGGTTCGGTACGACTGGATCCCTAGGGCCAGTAAACAGTTCGTTTTGCACCCCAAAGCACATCTTTCCGCCACATATGGCCAAAAGTCAGAGTGTGATCGTCAAATGTATGGACGTGCAGCATGGTCTCTGCACTTGATGAGATGCCACGAATCCACAATGTCCGTCATCCCAATTGCTGGTGAATCCTGTTGGAGAGTGTTTCCGGTATAGGATGTTGAATCACGTGCGTGCGTGTGCACAAATGCAGGCATGGCCGGCCATTCTTCCATGATCTTCCATGTTCGTCACCTTCCTAGAGCGCGAGTCCAATATCTTCCAGAGATTTGTCTCATGACCTTGATTTAACAGAGCGTTGGCGAGGGAATCCATAATCCAGCAAGGGGGGGAACTCCAAAGGCAAACAGGAAATCTAAAAAGTAACCAAACTTGATCTCCCAGTTTGGGGTAACGAAAGGGGCCTGTAAAGGGGTCAGCAGGGACTCCAAAAAATCGGTCACGAACTGAAGAAGCTGGCACGCGTCTGGTGGTTGTGTTGAGACACACCCTCATACCCATACCTGCCCATGGCCTGTGCCTGGATGGCCTGGCTGCCAGGCTTTTCCCCATACAGTTTCCACCTGTTCACCAATCAAGTCTGACGACTGCACCTTCTTAAAAAAGGAGGCGACCTGCAGGTGATCTGCCGACTTCCTGTGGATTTAACTATACCTTTTCGTGCCATCCAATCCACCTCCCGCCCGAGAAAAGACCTCCCACTCGTTCCGGCGCCAAACCCCACTCGTTCTGGCGCGGTCCGAGTGACCCAAGCAAGCTCATTTCTTCCACACTCAGCGATCCATCGTTGCTTTCCCTCAGCGATTCGCTCGGAGTTCAGCGGCACGGCCGGGGGGATTCGGGCCTCCCCCAACGAGGTCGGCTGAACAAGGAGAGGATTCGGAAAGGGACGCCTTCTCACGGGACCGCGAGGTCGTCCGGACGAAAACGAGGCACTCATCACTGCACGTGGCACTCATCCCATTCGGGGAAAAGTGATCATCTCTCAATTCGATTCTATAGACTCTATAAAACATGGATTGGCAATGATCATGTTCAGTACCCGGTTCGCTGATTCCGAGGAAATGATATCCAACGCTATGTTTTCAGTGTCCTTTGAATCTGGTCGACTCTATACCTACTTACCTGGCAAAGGGAACCTGCCAGAGCCGAAAAACCCTATCGAGTCGCTCTCCACCCAGCGGCGGCGCAGTTCGACCCAGATACTCCAGGAAGCCTTGGATCCTTTGGCTGACCCGCCGTGCGCGTGAGAGCACCTCCTGCGACCATCGCCATCGGATCGCCAACCACCCGGATGCTCCAGCCCGACAGGTCCTGAACCAAAACCCATACCAGGGGCCCCACAAACCGTCCAAAACCAGGTTTCCCTATCAAAAAACATGGTTCTTGTATGTGAAAACCAGTGTTTGTCATGGTTTGGTTCGGGCCCCTGGTACTCGAAACCCCAGACCTGTTGGGGGCGGCCGCGAGACCAGGTCGCGTCGGACCCCCGAACTACCCAGGATCCGCGATCTCGAAGCTGCCTGTGGGGTGAAGGATCCTGTGGGGTGAACCCAGGCAGTACCTGGTGAAGAGGCCCATGGGCCCATCATGGGCCTGTCCCCTTCCCTGTGGCACCACTGATGGGTCTTGATATGTCTGCATGGATGCCCTAGCCTTCAAAGACCATGACAAATGGTTGACCTGGTGTAAACATGGAGACTGAGTTTGGTGGTTTAGATGAACCCATCGACCACTTGCGGGGTTCCAGTACCATCTACTCGACGGCGTTTTGGGGCGCGTGTGACCTGTACCCCTTTTGAGCGCCACCCCAGTGAGAGGCGGCAAGAAGTCCGCGACCAGAAACACAAGATCCTTCAAACGTAGTGCAAACATAGGATTAATAAACCTCCCAGACCTTCTATGTGGGTTGGGTGGTTGATTCATCCGGTCTTTGCATTACTCATGAAAGCGGAGCAATCCTCCGCGTGAGAAAAGAGGATCACACGACTCGTGAGACCGAATCCCCGATTCAACGAACCTCCATGGCGTGAAAGCGATGTAGGCATTCCCTTAAGGCCATGGGACTTCTTCATTCAGCCTGGCTAGCCAGGAACTTGCTCTAAGTCTCACCTGTCGATCCGGATGGTTCGACTAAGGGGTGAATTTAAGAATTGCTTTAATAGATTAGATCTGTTCAGGGGCCATGCAAGTGAATATCATATATATGAGTTCTATTGAGTTCTCTTATATACAGTTTAAGACGTCTTTACATTGTGATTTTAAGATGTGATAAGATATTGTCGATCTAGGTCAATCTTCCAGCCTCATTGTCCCATGGATGGTCTGCGATGACTTGAATGAATCTTCACGCACCGGGCTTCCTCTGAAGAGATCAAGGACCATGTGCCCACGAGCAGCGAGTTCATCGCACAACAACAGCGTGGCAACGAGAGTACTATGGACTTTGGGGATGAAAGCGGGATCGATGAATTGATGAAAACCATTCCAACGAGCTGCTTGGCTGCTCAGTGTCGCCAATATCACAACGCTTTACCACCAATAGAATGCCTTTACATTGACGAAGGATGTTGATAGACAATTATTCAACATGGCATGTCTGATGTCTTTAGCTAGCTTCATCTCACGCAACTCCATCTCGCCGTTCCACAGTATATGTCTGGGGATGTATGTTGTCGAGGTACGAACTCCTGGTAGACCATGTCCCGCTGTTTCTTCCCTATTTCCCTAAAAACTTTGCAAGCCTTGTTGCTGTCATTCGATCATGTCTTTTGCCAGCATCTATGGCCCAACATCTTCGGCTCATCTTGGGGCCAATCAGCTGGCGGCGCAGGACACGACGCACGAGGTTCTTTCTGGTTTTCAGCTGGAAGAGGGCCACTCTCCCTTTTTCTCTCTCTCTCTCTCTCTCTCGCGCTCGCTCGCTCTATCTCAGGAGGCCTTCGTGATGGGAAATGCTTAAACCAAGCATAGAGGAAATAACACGTGGTTTCACACACCAAATGATGAATGACATAAAATAAGCATCAAGCTGAACCGGCAAGTCAAAATATCCTTGCTTGCCACCAGCTGATCTCAGAATGAATCCAACACCCTTGCAACAACCATGGTCAATCATAGTTACATACGTTCTTATGCAAATGCCCTTGCGCTGCAGTAATTGGGATACTTAGCAAGCAGCATTGCAAGGCCTTTCCCTGGCTCGAAGATCGGGCCCCATGCTCCTTACAAAAGACCCATTGAATACACGACTCCTTCTGGCCATAAAGGCCCAACACGATTCTGCTTGGCACCGTGAGTGATGGCACGGCTCTCCTTGGCTCCTCATAAGCGATGAGGTCTCATGATCCAATCGAAACCAGTCGAGTCAAGCTTCTTTTCGGTTTATACAAGGACACATCTACAGGATATCCATAGCTTTGGGAAGTGAAAGCCATGGTTTCCTGTTGATTTGTCCTTTAAATAAACCAATTCTGAGACCTTTTCAATCTTTTTGCGCGCATATGGTCGACCCCGGTCTCCAATCAGCCTGGCGCCTGGAGTCGGTGCCAGGGAGATCCCAGGGTCACAAGGTTCTTGGACCCGAACATGGCACCCGGGCCCCCAGTCCCACCGAACCTCAGAGGGTACTTGGATCCTTAGGGGTCGTATTTCATGCCAAGATGCTTTGCCTTCGCTGGCTTTAACTCATGTGGGAAGGGAATGATCGTGCGGTTGAACCAACACACAGTGTGATGTGCTGCGTGGTGCATGTTTCATAATTATAGTGCATACATGTGCATAATACACCCAGCAAGGCTGCTGTTCCAATGTTTTGTGGGCTCGAAGTTTGGAAATTCCACAAGACAACTCGTGTCTTCTGTGCATGCCTAATTTCAGCCACTGCCACTCCCTACACCTCCAGTCGTACCTCCGAAACGGTTCGGTGGTCTTCGACCCGAACCTGGCACCCGGGCCCCGGTCGTCCCACCGAACCGAAGCGGTTCGGTACGAAAACGGAGGCCAAACGGGTCCATGGATCCACTGCCACCCTCCATGTGCTCGGGTGATGTGCATGCCGCACTGTCATGCCGCATGGCGCAGTGCGAACTTCAGGTCCAGTCGTACCGCACCCGGTGGTGGATTCGCGGCCGTGCTCGACCGAGGTGGACAGTGTCCTACCCAAACGCTCCAAACAGCACTTGGTACCTCAAAACCCTAGGGATTTGAGACCCCAGACCCCTCCATATGAGGGTCCGACCCCTCCATATGAGGGCCCATGAGCGTCTGGGTAGTTCACGTTCGGACCGGTGAGTCACCAGGCGTACCGACTGTCGAAGTAGTCGAGTCGGGTTCTGACCCACCGCTGGGCAGTCGGGGAGAAGAACAAACAAAGCGTCCAAGTGTCCAAAGTTTCGGGATCATCCACATACATCCAGCCAGCCAAAGGATCAAAATCAACCTTCCGCACAACCACAAAACATCCAGGAGAAACAACTGACAACTAACAACATACACCGTTCAGGAACCGTATACGCCTTGATTGAGGTGCTCCGGGTCGGCCACCTGACCTGCCTTCAGGTTTGGAGGACTGGGAGGACTGGGACCCCTGGGAGATACCCGACCTTCGGATGTCTTGATGCTTTTGAACCCTTCCAACAACCGTTAATTTAATAGGCTTTACCGAATCAACTACTGCAGGATTTTACACTACAAAACCAGGTCAATCAGTTTTTTTTTTTTTAATGGTCTTAGGGTGAATACTTTCTTCACAACGGTCAACTCACAGACTCTCACAAAGCTCGTACCTCCACCACATGCCGCCCTCGGCCCCGCGCACGGCCGCGCCGCGCACTACACCCAGGCGGACCGCGGAGCTGCCGGCCACCGCCTTCAGGACGCCGTGGGAGGACCCGGTGGTGGCGGAGCCTCGGAGGGTCGGGAAGTCCATGAAGCTGCTGCGATTCGGTAGAACCCTAAGGATCCGGTCGTCCAGACCCTCCATGGGGGTCGGGGTCCAAGCCTCTAGTTCAAGGGTGACAGCCCCGAAGCAAACCCTGAGTTGTTGTTTTGGATGCGGATCCTTAGGGAAGCTGATCGACCCGTTTGGGAGCCTGTCCACATGGTCTTGTCGTCCTAGAACAAGACGGTCAATGGGTTCGGTATACATACCTAGGCCTATAGGGATTGATGGATCCACCATAAGTACCTCAGTACCTCCGGTACGACTGGTACCTCCAGGTGGTGTCTGGCACCGACTGGGGGTGGGAGGGCAATCAGCTGAGGTTCGGCACGAAAACGGCTTAAGAATGAATCGCAGGAGCACATGGCACAACCGAGTCCTCGGCCTTCTTATCAAGTCATCCTTGCAGGCCTTCCACTTAATTAAGTGAGTCGACAATTCGGAGTACACCTTCAAAACAGAATCCGCCGTGCTAAAGGCCAAAGACCTAAGGTGTGGCTCTATTGAAGCTTCAAAGTGTTGAAAAAAGGCGTCTTCAAAGCCTTCCGAATGCGCCAACACACCTCAAACATCTCCTCAAAAGGTAGTTGGAGCTCCCGGGATATTGCCAGTGGGTGTTAAATTCAACCAGTACAACTGAACGGCTATAAAAATCTATGTCATCTATGTGATGATACGAGTATCACTGCACGTGCGTAATCACAATAAAATATATCTTATCCTCCAGCCACAGCTGGACCAAACTTCAGTCACACTCCACCATCTGGAATCCCCTGACCCATTGCCCACCAGGTGGAGGTGGAGGCACCTGTCGTGGACAGGTACGACGGCGCGATAACGAAACTGGGCCGCAGCCTCAAGAGGAACGCAGCCAACGCAAGCCAATCCACAGGAATTGCACAGGTATGAGAGGGAAAAGGGTCTTCCCCTAGTTCTGTTTTCAAAGCAAGCTGCCTGGCAAACAGGCAAATTAACAAAGTTAACAAAGGATAACAAAGGGCATAGGCATATGATGGGTCCAGCCGAAAACAAAGCTGGGAGCACAGATTGGGAGGGACACACACAAACTAAACACAAAATCATAGGCCCTGCTGTGGTTTTCCAATGCATACAGCTAACTTCAACATACTTTAACAATCCCTAGGGCTCCGAGTTCGCCCCATCTCCTCAGGTTCGGTGGGCTCCAACCCCCAAAACCACCCACCCCTGGCCCACCGAACTTCAGGAGGGGGCGGCCAGGAGCCCAAACGGATCTACAACTCCCATTTTCGAGACCCTACACCTCCAGTCCTACCGAAACGGTTCGGTGCTCTTCGACCCGAACATGGCACCCGGGCCCACCCCGGTCGTCCCGGTCGTTCTCCGAAGCGGTTCGGAAACGAAAACGGAGGCCAAACGGGAGAAGGATTGCTCTGACGGGATCTTCGCAGTTTCACCAGCACAGAGTGACCAAACCACCGGACCCACGGACCACGTCCGTCACGTCAGTTGGAGACGTAGGACGCTGGTTTGCCCTGGTTTCCAGGGGTGTCCTGGACCTGGAGGTCCCTATTAGTCGTGGGCTGGGGCGAAACCAGGTGACCCTGGAATGAAGGTGCTGGTACCTGGGGTGGATATGGGTGGATGTAGTATGTACCTACCCTAAGAATCAAGGACCCTCAAAAGTGAAGGTTTTGAGGGTCCAAACCCCTGCTATGCAGGGTCAAAACCCTCCATAGGAGGGTCCAATGATTCTTAGGGTATAGTAGGTATCTGGAACTTTGACCTGACTTTCGCCTGACTCCACCTTGACAGTGTGTTCGATCGGTATTGAGAGTAGTGTCCTTAGTAGATCTGAGTAGCTAGTCCGGCCTCGTGAACCCTAGTCATGAACATCTATGTGGCCTGTGGCCTATATCATATCCCATGTGCGAACGCGCAACATGAAGGGCTCCAACCACATCAGAAGGTAGGGACAACCCTCAACAACCCCCCAACACCCCCCCCACACCCCGAAACGGAGGTAGTTGAAGCCTTGGGCTGACCCCTCATTTTCCCTGGAACGTCGAAAGGTCCACCGAGTTCAGGGCTTTTTCCAGGCGTTGCCACGGTACTTCCTAGCAAACAGTCCGATGCGTAGACTCAGGTTGGGATTCATAAACCATAACAAATGACCGTATTTTTGGTTTTCATAAGAGTGCCTCTACGTAGCTTTTCAATGTACTTCCTAGCAAACAGTTTTCCATATGGATTCATAAACCTTTAGCCTTTAAATCCCTTTCCATATATGAAAAAGGCTGTTGACCTCCTAATATCACCGAATATGACGGTCGGCCACTCTGGTCACACACGAGGTGGGCTCCACTGCGGGAAAGCACTCGTCTTTTTCATGGCCCTCTTTCGCTCGCACGAACGAGTTCAACAAAGCGGACTCCTCGTCCGTGGACGGGGCCGGGAAGCTTGGGCCGGAAAGCCAACACACGAACTGGCCACGGTAAATAGAAGGATGGCTACTAGCAGCTGCCTGAAAGTGATCAAACCGCAGTTAAAGCAAATCATTTCGAAATGGACTTGTTTCCCGATGTCTAGCGGGTTGTACCTTGAAGGATTTTGACGTTAGTTCACCGCACTCTTCAAGAAACCTGTGGGTACAAACGGACTCAACGGACTAAGGTCCCACATGCTGCGTGGTGCGCAGATCCACGCCAACTCCGGCCGGCCCGAGGACCCAAGGCCAAAGTCAAGCACTTGACCTAGGAACTGTGAGACAAATCAATGCTGGCAGTGCAGTCCTTCCTGGACGGTCATGCCATGCAATGCCAGCGTGCTGCTCATGGCCTCAGCCTCGGTCGGCGACCAACTGCCACAGTCTGCCCTCTCCCCAGAACCACTCCTGGCTCAATTTCCAAAGACCATTCTTGATGGCAAAGTCTTGTATAAAGTATAAGCCACTACTTGGGATTTGAGCCACGAGGTCCAAAGAAGTCCTGAGGAGGAAACGGCATGAAATCAATAGATGGACATCAATAGTAATAGATGACATCAATTGGGGGACTTTAACATGTTAACACTGTTGCTTCAATAGGCATCTTGCGCTGATGTCATGTAGACCCAAATAGGCATTTCGTTTCGAATCAGCAACCACAATACCTGTCGGACAAAAGACCAACAAACAAAAGACCAACTGCTTGGCTGCTTGAGACTGACTGGCTGGTCTTACAAAACTCACTGGAAGAAAACTCGTATATATACCTAGAACCCATTTGACCCCTGTTTTGATAGGAAAAGACCATGTTTTGGCTCCAAAACAAGGGTCAATCAGGTTATTTATATATACTCTGCACAAGTGTCCGGGAAGTTGAGAGCCATTTTCTTGGCCCGAAGAAGCCTCCCCCAAAACCACCATGGGGGTCCTCCCAAAAAATCACCCTGCACCCAAGGTCCCTAAGCAAGAACCCCCCCCCCTAAAGGTCAATGACCTTTAAACCATTCGGATGTGGTCATACAAAGACAACTACTTAAGGACGTCAAAGACCTGGGTCAAAGACGGTCAGACTGGACCTGTAGGCTCTGTCGCCACAGCTACCTTTCCGTCGCAAAAGCCCGGCGGCCGGGGAATCCGAGTGACCTGGCTCCCTGTCCCAAACACTCCATGTATGCCCTGTATGCCTACATTGACCCCCAAAGCCACCGCAATGTAGGCATATATGGCAGTCCCATGGAGTGTGTGTGGCTATGTACTTGGCAGATACCCCCGTGGTGGTCGCTCCCGAACCTCGTGGTCGCTCCCAGCGCCATACAGCGGACCGCCATGCAAACATCTTGAGGTGCCAGTGCCATGTCGAACCTCGGGAACCTCGGACACCACTGTAACCTAAGGATCCGGTTTTGGTTCGGGGCCCCAGCTACCCTTGAACTAGAGGGTTCGACCACTTGGAGGGTCCGTTCAGATCCTCACCCTAAGGGTCCAGGACCATCCTGAGGATGGTCTTGGAGGTGAAAGTACTTCCTGAGAATGGTCTTTGGGGCAAAAGGAGATCCTCAGGATGGTCCCGGACCCTTAGGGTCAGGGTAGCAACATCATACGACCCATTGGAACACTCTAGGGCTTCGAGTTCGTCCTATCTCCTCAGGTTCGGTGGGCGATAGGTAAAGACCATGTTTTGACTCCAAAACAGGGGTCACTCAGATTCTAGGTATATATATAATTATATATATATAGTGTCCGTCCGTGGGTGTGCGGTGACCTTGGGGGATCCTTCGGGTCGAAGCGTGGCAGTGAAGTGTCCATCCCGTGGCCTCTGGGAGCCTGGACGATCTCAAAGTCGACGGCCGGACCGGGACGTTCTCAAAGTCGTTGACTCATCTGCCTGAGCTGCTGGGAGTCGGAGGTCCTCTCGCACCCCAGGCGACCTATTTTTGCGTGGCACCCACATGAAGGGCACAGCGGTTTTGGCTGGCCTTTTTCAGAAACATGATTGGTGGTTTACTCATTGTCATAAGACTTAGCTACACCACGTGCTCGAACTTTTGCATGTTGCTAACCACGTGCTCGGTTAGCGGATGTTGATGCCTTGAAAAAGGGTTCTCCAAATCAAGTGGCCCGTTGGGCATGTCGAAAATGGTTTTTCGACCCCTGTAGCTTTCCCATCCTGGGAGTTGGAATTGCAGCATCGGAGCGAGCGAGTCATCCAGAAGTACATAGAATATGAGGAACTGTTCCTGTTTTCGGATTGGTTCACATTCTCTCTGCTCATGCTTAATCAGTGGTGCATGTGCCACTTGTGTGGCTCTTAAGCTTTGTGCAGTTTCATGATCTCTGCATCAACTTCACATGTCTTTAAAGGTATAGGTGAGTGCCGGTGGGGTATTGACGCTTGGCTTTCCAGTCTTTGTTTCAACTGTTGCATTCGTGTTTCTTGGGAGGTGCGTAAATTCAGGAGCACACCTCGCATTTGGGCGTGACACACGCACACTGTCCTGTGTTCCGACTTTGTGCCTAGCTTGGCCTGCATGACCCATAAATCAACCACCCCACACGTAGGTATAATTTATATATTATAAAAATGGCAGCCCCATGGAGTGTGTTGGCTCTATCCTATTACCAGTAACAGTGGATGATGATGGTTCAGTTGCAGCCCGACATCTCTAAAAAGTGAATATATATATATATATAAGTACCAGGGAATCCAAATGTGCATTTTTTTTTGTTCAAACACGTTCGCACAAAAAATCCGTGCATCCGGCCTTTTTTGTCAAATGGACAAATTTTCTGGAATTCCTCCGAATATTGGGTTTGATTGGGTTTTATCAATATATTTTTTTGGGTTTTTGTCGATAAAATGTTGATAAAGTTTGGGTTTCATATGGGTACGCTTTTGTACGGTATTGTTTTTCTGTCCATACGGCTAAGTGTTCATACGCCTTTCCAGGTATATCATATACCATTAATCAGGCTTAATAAGACTGTTACAGGTCATCAAAGAGATCCAATTACATACCAGGACCGAACCCAAGTTCGGGAACACCACCACTGGCTAGCAAGTCTACAAACGGTCGCCTCCAAAACTCGAAGACCTGTTGGTGGAAGGTGCTGGTCGTGATGTTCTTACCCTACACCTCCAGTCGTACCTCCTCAGGTTCAGTGTTTGGACCCTCCTGGCACCCACCCCAGTCCCACCCCTTTGTTGGATGCATCTCTTGGGTCGTTCCTCCCACCGATCTTGATGGTCACCCCGGTGTTCAGCGCAGCTGGGACGGACTTGGCGAGTTGGAAAAATTAAGGGCCCCACATCCATCAAATCAGGTGTGTTCACTTGAGAACGAAGGACCTCTTTGCTGATCAGCTCACGGTGCTGCCAGCATCACTCCGGCGTTCTTCAAGGAATTGGCATTCCCGCACACCGAAGTGAGAACAAACACTACCGTTGTGGAAAAGCAACAAGCAGCAATACCGGTGTGGAGTCCGGACTCCCGCTTCGCATGTGACTCTCCCCCAAGGGGCTGTCATGGCTGGCAAAGTCTTCAAACTCGTGGCACAATAGCTGGATGGCTGCCAGTGCACTTTGAGGGGAACCATCAAAATCCTAAACATTCTCCTGAACTGTGTTTCTAAGGCACTAGCATGTGAGAAACCATCTCATTCGTAATGTTTGATGATGTTAATGCATGAGTTCTTTGCCTGCCAACCACCCAAACATTCATAAATTTCAAGTGATCCATGTCTGAGATGACCCTCAAATTCTGAAATTGACCATGAATGGGATAAGCCACTAGGAATTAACGTCTACGAATACCAGTAGGATGATGATGGTTTGCAGCCACCTTTTCCCAAAACACCGACCCCCTCCATGGTATGCATTCTGTTCAAGAGTAGCCTTGGGGCTCCAGTCGTACCTTCGTTTCAAAGGTGCTTGGGGTGGGTTTCAAGAGTCCTAATACCTTCTGAGGAGTGCGACTGGAACCCAAATGGGAACATGTCCTGCCGCCAAAGGGCAATGACCGGCGATCCTCTTCCACCGAGGAACCACGGCGCTGGTTCGGGTTGCGGTATCTCAGTCGAGCTGGTTCACCGAAACACGCGGTCTCTCAGTCGAGCTGCAACAAAAAAAACTGATGAACCTCCGCAACAATAAAGGTTGACGAAACTGATGATCAATGAATACGTAGGTATGGAGTCCAACATACTCCAACCGCGATTGTTGATTACATGACTGACCCCTATTTGTCCTATGTTGGTGCCCTTGCGATTGAAGCCTATTCAAAAAAAAAGCAATAATAGTTATTCTATTCAACATGCAGGTCTGAGCCTGGTGTAATGGCCATGGTGTAAAAGCAGTGAGAAAAGGCATAACCTGTCAGTTGTATTTCCTCATGTTGTTTGGCATGGCATGAACTGCTCGCGCTGGCGGCACTGGGCCGCCGGGCAAGTAGAACCACCCCTCAGGTATGTCAAGTGCACCAAGTGCGCGCTGCAGAGCCCTATTGCTGGATTTCCGGCAATGCGTATACCCTAGGCCTCCAAGTACCTTCTGAGAAGGTGGGACTGGGGTGGGTGCCAGGAGGGTCTAAACACCTTCTGAGAAGGTGGGACTTGGAGGTGTACGGATACGGAACCGCTGGGCATGTCAGAATTACAAACCATCCACGGAATGTTAGTGTTGATGAAATAGTTCCTACATATAAAATACATATATACATATTATATATATTAAACATGTGCCACACGTAACGACGTTGTCCTTCACTCAAAAAGTGTGTCCTTGCACACAAAAAAAAACCATGAACGTCTGGCCGCATGGCCGTGCGCAAGCATCCCCAGGCCCCAAGCTCAACTCCCAGGCCTTGACTCAACAAGCACTCACCCAAGCCTTGACTCATCACCCAAGCCTTGACTCATCACTCAAGCCTTGACTCATCACCCAAGCCTTGACTATTCACCCAAGCCTTGACTCATCACCCAAGTCTTGACTCATCACC